ACATTTCCGTATCGGACAGGTGTTATCTCCATTTTGAGCTCAACAACTTGAAACTCATTGATCTTTGGCAGTATGTGCCACAATGACAAGATTATGTTTCTGCAACCGGATAGATCCTTGAACTTCATCTAGAAAAGGAAAACAGTGCAATGGTAGTTACTCCTGTAGGCCAGCCCTCTACCACTGGGCTGTACCCTTGGCCTGTAGTCATTCATTCTAGAGAAAAATAGATAAAAATAAATAGAAAAAAATTTGGCATTTAAGTAGTGAGTTTTCTATATTTCTTCACATGTTGACCAAGGCCTTGTATAACGCGGGCCTGTCCTCCCACCAGTGTCCCTTGTGTTCAGCGCTGTGTGTTACATTACGTGCTACTTACAGTTCTGCCGTGTAGATCCTGTTACTACCACCTTTTGCAGATGAGACCTAGAGAAGTTCAATAACTTGCTCCATATCATGCAGATAATAAGACCAGACTGGGGATTGGAAGGAAGGTTGCAGCACAAGGTCTGACTTATGACTCCTCTGATAATCATTGTTGGTAGCTTTTTGGAACTCTGATTCATCTCATTTGCAGTGTAGCTTCCTAGTATGACTTCCGGGCCATCTGATCTGTTCCTTTTATTCTTATCCCAGCTAGAGGAAAATGGCCTTTGAGGTTATTAGTGATTTTTCCAAAAAGGAATCCAATTTAATTTTGCTGTGAACTATTTTGACAAACTCGAGTAGTGAGAATCCAGAAAGACAATAGCTGTACCTTCTTTAGGGGTGTCATTGGAGAACTTTCCCCTCTGTAAAGAATTGCTCATTCCACCTGGGACCCAAAACTATATGGTAAGAATGCGACTCTATGACATCAACCGGCGGCAGCTGAACCTCACCATCCGGATTGTATGTCGAGCAGAAGGGTCCTTAAAGATCTTCATTTCCGCTCCATATTGGCTCATTAACAAAACAGGTATGTAAATAGGCATTCCCAGTAAGTCTTGGGGTTGGTCATGGGAATTCAGACATATTTGCTCAGCTAACTAAATGGAGCCAATGCAAATAGATGACTTCAACAGTCTAAGCTGCTGAAACTTTCCTGATTCCATGATATGTGCTTAATCATGGTCAAAACCGTCCTTAGATAACAGATTGAGCCCACAAAATTCAGTTTTCACTATTTTCCCCCTTGCCGATTCTGCATTCCCCTGTTACCGTTTGCATCTTTGATGGGAAGACTGGGTGGGATTGTTTGATATAAACTTTTTCCATCCTTCCTAAAGGGTTACCACTGATCTTCAGACAGGATAATGCAAAGACAGATGCTGCAGGCCAGTTTGAGGAACACGAGTTGGCCCGGAGCCTGAGCCCTCTCTTATTCTGCTATGCTGACAAAGAGCAGCCAAACCTGTGAGTACAGTTATTTATGAGAAGGGGAAATAAGCTCCTAGGGAAGGGGAGAAATTAGCAAAGGCTATAATATATCCAAGTAAGTGGAACTATACTGTAGATAACAGTCTTGACTTGGCAGAGGACTAGAACCATGACCTAATGGGATTTTTTCGGATCTAATTTCTGTGTTATTTGATCCTGAAAATAAACCATTTGTTGGTTTATAATGAAAGCTAGTTTTATTTTACATGTTATTGAAGGAGTTCTCCTATTTATAACTGGGCCGATGAAGAGAAACCTGTATGTCCCTTTTCTTCTCTGCAGTTTCTCTTTTCCTGTAGCCTTGGCAAAGGAGTGGGCATCAGAGAGTAGCTGGACTGGCCCTTTGGCCCTATTGGCCCAATCAGGGCTGTTAGTGGAAGGTTTTGAGCTCCAAAATGTGCCTTCTCATCGTCTTAAAACACTCATTGCATGTTTCACAGCTGGGAAAAATAACAACTGTGAGGATTAGATAACATGTCCTTTTAATGTATGGTAGGAATGTTAATTCACTTTTGTTCTTGGTTTTGACATTCTGCTTTTTATAGGAGTCTTCTAATTTTATAGCCCTAATCCAGAGATAAATGGATGTATCTTATACTGCTAAAATGGCATACGCCATCATCTATAGAATTTGGCAGAAAACTTAACAGGAAGGTTTCCGGAGTACTGCACTCAGTGGATACAGATGTGTTTTCCAGAGAGACTGGAATCTAGATTAGTGTTGGAGTCAGAGTTCCGGCTCTTGTCGGAGACTCAGCCAGCCTCTTGACACATTCAGCAAGCCCTGTCTCCTTCTGTTCATCAAAGATTTTGACAGTTTTAGATCTAGGGCTGAGCATTTGTCATGGTTGACTTTATCCATGGGATTCACAGTTTCCAGAGTGTTTCCATCTAGATCATCCTGTTGGATTCTCCCCAGCATGCCAGTGATCAGGAGATAGTTATATTTTAAGATGAGGAGACTGAGGCTCATGGCCAGCGTGCCCTATGCCCAGGGCTGCATCGCTTGTTCGTGGTGGACCTGGAGCACACATTTAGGAGTTATATTTCCAGGATCTGACTGGACACCAGCCAACTGGACGGTGCTTTGCTGATATGAGGGTCTCAGTTCCTGGAGGTGACGTGCTGTCAGCCGCACCTTCTTACATACTGTTCTCGGCTTTTTTCTTGACTCCTTGATTTTCAGGGGAATAATAGAAACTGTAGCATATTCCTCATGTTTTATTCTCATAGAATCCTGTGCTCTCTCCTAAAGTGTTCATTTGTAGATGTCCAAGCATTTCATATACTGTTGTAATGCGGCTGCATCTTAAGATGAGGGTTTGATCACTGATTAATTTTCTCACTCCTGGGGATTCACATGAGAGTGAGGATGAAGTCAGTGTTAGAGGCCTAACTGGGTGCTAGCCACACTAGCGTTTCCTGATTAGATGAGGTAGATAAGACTTGCTTGTGGATGATTATATACATCTTTGCTTTTCTGCCCCACAGCTGCACGATGAGAATCGGAAGGGGGATTCATCCTGAAGGCATGCCCGGCTGGTGTCAGGGCTTCTCCCTGGATGGTGGTAGTGGTGTCCGAGCTTTGAAAGTCATCCAGCAAGGAAACCGCCCAGGGCTGATCTATAACATTGGTGGGTTACGTTTGGGCAATGGGAGGATCAGAATCTTTGGCTAGTGACTTTAGGCTTAGAGGAATTAGCTGGCAGTGCATTTTGGCCTGGCTACAAGTGCTGATTTTCTCATTTGACAGTGGGTCAGATACCTGCTCTCTGCATGCAATATTGATATCAACGCAGATCTATTCTCCTAGGGATCTGAGGAGCCACCTAAACACTGCCCTTTTGAGGTCTATGGCTGTTTAATTTCAGGCTCACCTGTGTCAGGAAAGTATCAGTTTGTCTTAAATCCTTGTTTTTCAGGGGAATAATAGGAACACTCAGAATGCTTTTTATCCTTCAAGAATTCCCACGCATTCATTAAAATTTGCAAACCCTAAGAGGGTAAGAAGCATTGTTCTCTCTGAAACTAAAGCAGAGAGGTTAAGTGACTTGCCTAGAGGCAAAGGGGAAGTCTGGGTCAGAAGTAGGATTAGAATGGGGGTGTGTGAATTTGAGGCAGAAAATATAATAAAAGACACTTGGTGGCTTAGTCATTAGCAGCCTCCAGACTTGCTTAGCTTCTGGAGGCAGGAAGGGCAGGGGAGGATGCAGTACCCTGTGCTTTAGAGCTACTGGGGTATACTTGAGGGAGTGTCCTAAGGGTTGCGATCAGTTACAGTGTGTCCCTGTCCCTGTGAGAGTGTTTGATTCCAAGGACCTCACAGCCGTTTGTGGTGTTGACATTGCACACCACCTAGACCTGCCTTGTCCAGTAGGACCCCTTGTGAGGATGGAAATGACCTATTTCGTGTTGTTTGATGTGGCAGCCATTAGCCATGTGTGGCTGCGGAGCAGCTGACAGAGTGTTCTTGAGAAACGTGGCGAGTGTGACTGAGGAGTGGAACTTTCACTCTTCATTTTTAAGAATCTTAAATTTAAATAGCGACATTTGGCTAATGGCTGCAGTATTGGACAATGAAGATAAAAAGAGTGATGTTGTAGAAGGAAGATCTGGGGTAGTGGTGGAGTCTACATACTTACCCTGGATCCTGGGCACAGTTGGGCATGTTTAAGGGTGTGAGGATTTCTTAGTAAAAGAATCTCACAAGTATAGTTTCTTTTTCAGATTTTTTAAACTTGAATTTATATTCATGATTTCTTGACATGCAAGCTGTCTCCTTACAGTTGATATTAAGATTTCTAAAAGAAATAAACTTAATTCGATCCTCCAGCTAAAGATAATGTTCCTCACATTTTCTGACATTTGTTTGCTCCACCACTTGAGTAGGCAAAGGCTGCTTCATGCTGGCTTTCCACATGCTGTCTGGAAGCCGCTGTCAGGACATCTGTGGGGAGGCCTCAGAGAGGAATGGAACATGCTCCTTTGAGCTGACCAAACCAGAAATACACAGTGACTGTTCACAGGAACCGCCATGCGAGGGGCATTCACTGAGCTCATGGCATCTGCATTCAGGGGCAGGACTGTGATTGGAGTTTTGTCACTCCACCAAGGAAAGAAGATAGGTTTCGATAGGACTTTATAACTCTTAATGTTTATGAGATTTTGGCGTGTGTTATTGACAGAATTTGTGGAATCTCCTGCCTGAATATTTTGAGGAATTGGATCAGCATCATGTAAAGAACTATCCCAAGCTGAAAAGCCAGGGAGAACTTTGCCAGTTAGCCTTATGTGTACCTCCCGAAAGAAGGATTTTGTGCATTTTGATCTCAGCTCTTGACTTTTAGAGGGTGTGCCAAGGCGACCGAAATTGAAAAGAGAAACAAAAAAACCCTCACCTTTTTCCAAATATTGAAGTGTCTGAGCTGTTCTAGGGCACTTTAGATTCTTTTTGTAATATCAAATTAAATGTATCTTTTGTAGGCAGACTTTGTATTAATTGATCAGCTAACTCTGATACTGTTGATTTTGGCTAACCGAAGCTCTTCTGTTTATCACAGAAGGAAAAGCAGTAGGCTTACCTCCCTGTCCCAGTATTATGTGGCATTCCTTAGGTCGAGTCTCAGATACACTTATTCTTGTGATTCACTTCGTCACTCAGTCATTTTCAAGGCTTACATTACATAGTTAACGGATTAGAAGATGTACACTCTAGGATGGTGTTAGAGTCTAGGACACCTGATTGTCATATCAGAAGGCGGAGTCTTCCATTTTCAAGGTTCTGTTCATACTTGTGGAGTGCTTCCTTGGGTCCTTATGCACATTGCCCCTGGGTTGAGCAGGCCACAGGGGCGAGGCACCCTGGGTACAGACTGTCTGCATTTGAAGCCTGGTCTAGCCTCTGCTAGCGATGCTACCTGGAGCCTCTTACTCAGCTTTCCATACCATAGTTTCCTCATCTGTAAAATGGAAATAATTAAAATACCTGATAAGGCTATTGTGAGGATTAAATGGAAAGCCTTTAGGGGAGGACCTAGCATATATGAAGAGGTCAGTAAGTGTTATTTTTATTATTTATACCATCAATATTTTTTATTATTGTACAGTCAGAGCCCAGCCCGGTACTTGGAATATAGATCCCATATTTATGGTCTGAATGAATGATTCATCTCACTGATTGTTCTAGTTTTAAATATTGTTATCAGATTTTTTTTAAAGGTAATTCTTTATTTGGAACTTCTTGTTTTAAGATTTTCTTCTGACTGACTTCTGTTGTTTTTCCAATATGTAGTAGGTGCTGAGAATCTACTTATTTTGAGAAAAATGAATTCTATAACACTTAGCATTGGGTTTGAGCTGGATTCTTGGACAGTGAACAAAAAGGAAGTTGACAACAGTCGACTGAGTTCAGGCAGCACAGAGCTCTTAGATCCAGCTAAGAGCTCTGGACATCGTACTGTGTCCTCTAAGAGGGGCAGGTTCTCCAGGGAAGTTCCATGCCTGCATGTGGGTGGAAAGGTATCACGTGAAACTTGGTAGTCAGTTTCATAAATGGAAGCCTGCGGTGTGGGACTGGATGCCTATGTGTTTCAGTTGCTGTCACAGGGCACACACTTCCTGAAGAAATCGGGAGTTGTGGGCATATTGATGTTGCCCTGGCGCTTTGCATGCAGTTGCTGATTTCACTCTGTCCTTGAAAGGCTTGATGTCCTCCCAGTGACATAGTTGTTTTCTCAGAGAAACTGAGTAATTGTGAAGACTGATGATTTTTTTTGTCAGACCAAGAATTTTCTGTGTTTTGATTAATTTATGAAAATTTTGTTTTGGTAGGTATTGATGTCAAGAAAGGCCGAGGTCGATATATTGACACCTGTATGGTCATCTTTGCCCCCCGTTACCTGTTAGACAATAAATCATCTCACAAGCTTGCATTTGCACAAAGGGAATTTGCCAGGGGACAGGTAAGCAATTTGCTTTTGGAGAATGACCAGTGCTTATTGGTTAGCATAGTGAGCCAGGCATGATGAGTACACTCCTGTAATCCTAGTGAGTGGGGTCAGGGACAAGGGGTGGCTGAGGCAGAAGGATTGCAAGTTCAAAGCCAGCTTTGGCAACTGAGAGAGTCTGTAAGCAACTTAGTGAGACCCTGTCTCAAAATAAAATATTAAAAAAGGCTGGGGATGGATATGGCTTAGTAATTAAGCATCCTTGGATTCAATACTTAGTATTTAAACAAAAATCATGGTGAGTTTTAATATCATGCTTATCTCCCATCACAATGGTATGTTCTGGTGGGGTGCAGTGGCACATTCCTGTAATTCTAGTGACTTGGGAGGCTGAGGTAGGAAGATCACAAGTTTGAGGCCAGCCTTAGCAACTCAGTGAAACCCTCAATAAAAAGGACCGAGGATATAGCTCAGTGGTAGAACACCCTTGGATCAATTCTCAGTTAAAAAAAAAAAAAGACTAAGCTCTGTGATGTGAATAATCCAAATGGCTCTTGGTAGAGGGTGAGGCTCAGAGTACCTGGCCACTCAGTAAATATTTGTGTATTACTGGTAACATATTGGGCTGAACTGAACTGTTGACTCAAGCCAGTGGTCTTCTGTGTCTTAGGGAACAGCCAATCCCGAAGGTTATATCTCCACCCTTCCTGGCTCCAGTGTGGTGTTCCACTGGCCTCGAAATGACTATGATCAGCTCTTGTGTGTGAGGTTGATGGATGTTCCCAATTGTATTTGGTCTGGAGGCTTTGAGGTCAACAAGAATAATTCCTTTCATATCAATATGAGGTAAGTTTGAGCTTTCAAAGACAAAATGTAGACTTGTTTGAGATGCAGTAATGTAGTCAGCCCATGTTGCTCTTAGTGAAACGGGCACACATGTTCCTGGATCAGACAGAGTTCCCAGAGCTGCGGGAGCTATACGGGAGCATTTGATGGGATGAGCCCATCATGGAGAGTGCTCTGGTTATAAGCCACGGGACAGCTCTGAGCCCAGAGAATGGTTCCTCTGAAAATTCTGTCTGCATTTAGATGGTTACATTGATTATAAAGGTTTTTGTCTGTTCTTACACATTTGTACATCTCTCCAAACCAAGTGAGAGAAATCAACTAGATGTATCCTCGAGTAGCCTACCACCTCTCTACCTGATCCAAACAAATGCTGTTTTCTTTTAAATTATTATTATTTTTTAAAAATGTAGATGGATACAATACCTTTGTCTTATTTATTTCTTTTTATGTGGTTCTGAGGATAGAACCTGGTGTCTCACCATGCTAGGCAAGTGCTCTACCACTGAGCCACAACCCCAGCTCCAAATGCTTTTTTTTTTTTTAATTATTAATTTTTTTCCCCTTGGGACAGGAGGTCTTGCTGTGTTATCCAACTTGGCCTCAAACTCCTAGGCTCAAGCAATCCTGTTGAAGCCTCCCAAGCAGCTAGGACTGCAGATGCACACCACATTACCCAGATAAAACAAAGTATAATTGCCATAAAAAATACATAACATAAAATTTACCATCTCAAGCATTTTCATGTGTGCAGTTCACAACTGTAAGTGCATTTACATTGTGTGATTTCCAGAGCTCTCTTCATCTTGCAAAACTAAAGCCATGTCAATTGAGCAATTCTTCAACCCTTTTCCTTTGCCCCCAGCCCCTGGCAAACTCCATTGTAGTTTGTGTCTCTAGGACTTTGACCACTCAGAGTACTTTATATAAGTAGAATTGTACCTTATTTCTCTTTTTTGGGGGGTGTGGGGGATACCAGGGATTGAACTCAGGGACACTCAACCACCGAGCCACATCCCAATCTCTATTTTGTATTTTATTTAGAGACAGGGTCTCACTGAGTTGCCTAGCTCTCGCCTTCACTGAGGCTGGCTTTGAGCTCATGATCCTCCTGCCTCAGCCCCCTAAGCCATTGGGATTACAGGTGTGTGCCACCATGCCTGGCTCCTTATTTCTCTTGTTTGTGACTGGCTTATTTCTTTTATCATAACACCCTCAAGGTTCATCAATATGTTGCATAGTGTCAGAATTTTCTTTAATTTTCAGGCTGAATAATATTTCAGGCTTGTATATCTTTCCTACATTTTATCATTCATTCATCCCTTGTTGGACATTTGAGTTACTTTCACCTTTTGGCTATTATGAATGTGGATATGCAAATACCTGTGCAATAGCTGGGCGCTGTGTTGCATACCTATGATCCTGGCCATTTGGTAGGCTGAGGCACAAAATTGAAAGTTCAAGGCCAGACTTGGGCAACTTAATGAAACACCATGTCTCACAAAACAAAACAAACAAGCAGGTGTACTGAGGATGTAGCTGTGGCAGAGTGCCCTGGTTCAGTCCCCAGTACCACGCACACATGCTACACAAAAGTCGAATGTATTTTGAGGTGGGGGATTTAGTGCAGTGGCAGAGTGCTAAATCAAGCCCAGGTGTGAGGTCCTGGGCTTGATCCTCAGCACTGAAATAAAGAAAAAGTGAGGAAAAAACCAAATATCTCTTTAAGACCCTGCTTCAGTTCTTATGGGTATAGACACAGACATAGAATTGCTGGAGCACACAGTCATTCTAGTTTAATTTTTTGAGGATCCATCATGCTGTGTTCTGTAATGATCGTAGCATTTTATTCTCCTGCCAACAGCGTGCTGGGTTCTGGTTTCTTCACACTCTCACCAACGTGTTATTTTATCCTGGGTTTTGGGTAGTATCCATTCTGTTTGGGGTGATGTAGTGTGTCGTTTTGTCTTTGTGGTCCTGGGGAGTGAACCCCAGGCTCATCCGTGCTAACCACACACACTTCTACTGAGCTGAGCTCCAGCCTTCTTGTATTTTTAATTCACTTCTCTCTAATGAGTCTGACGTTGAACATCTTTCCATGTACCTGTTGGCCATTTGTGTGTCTTTGGAGAAACATCTATTCAAGCCCCGTGCCCAGTTTTGAACTGGACTGTTTGTTACATGTTGATATGTAGGAATTCTCTGTTCTGGATATTAACTCCTCGTCAGATATGTGATTTGCAAATATTTTCTCCCATTCCATTGGTGGCCCTTTCCACTTTTGATTGGGTTCTGTTGTGATAAAAGTGGTGTTGACTTTTGATGTAGCCAGTTTATCTATTTATACTTTTGTGATTGTGTCCAAGAAATCGTTGTCGTACCCATTGTCGCAAAGCTTTGCCCCTTCATTTTCCCGGGAGTTTTAAAGTTTCAGCTCTTGCCTTTCGGTCTTTGATCCGATTAGAGTGACGTTTGTGCATGGTAAGGTGAGGACTGAACTCAGGGTCACTCAACCACTGAGCCACATCCCAATCCCTATTTTGTATTTTATATAGAGACAGGGTCTCACTGAGTTGCTTAGCTCTCGCCTTATGTGGTGTGTGGAGATTCCATTTACACCTAGAAGGGTCTTGTCACTGGGTTCCGTCCCCAGCAGTGCAAAAAAGTTAGAAAATCTTGTGCTTCAAGATTGTTTTTCTATTCAGAATCCCTTGAGATGCATATAAATTTTATGATGGGTTTTTCCATTTTGTCGTAACAAAACAAAACAAAATAAAACAAAATAAAAAAACGCCGTTAGGATGTTCACAGGGATTGTGTGCAGCCTAGACTGTACTGGGTAATATTGACACCCTAACAATAGGGTTCCCATTCACGAACTCAGTATTGTTCCATTTATTTGTGTCTTAATTTATTTCATTCATACTTTT